ATTTATAGTCTGAAGAAATTTATTGAATTTTGTAAATTTTTTTTAAATTATTGTAGATAAAAAATTAAAAACTTTTACTTAAGTGGCGTCCGGCCTAGTCTTTTAAGATTTTTAAATAGTGTGTTTAGTAGACCTGCCGTCGTCCGTTGTATTCAAATATCAAACATTTCGTTGAAGTGATTAATTTACAAATTTAAATTAATTGCCAATAATAATATGTGTAGTTATCGACTAGGTATTCAAAATAATATAAACGACGACTTCACGAGTTAAAATTCTATCTATAGTTGTTTACATTATTATTGTGGTTTGTGTCCCAAATGATCAATAATATTAACTGTCGATAGTATCATCGAATATAGATAGTAGGTATATACTATCAATATAATAATTATTTTGATAAATAAAATATGAATTGTATTACGACTCCGGCTGTACGTGTATTGTGTACATAATATACTTACTTATTAGATATCTACAGCCGCGATAACAGCGGAGAAACGAAAAATAGGTAGATAGTCGTAAAATATATTGCATTAGTTGTAAACTTGTACAACGACTGTCGACTTATCGTACTTACCTACAAGTTATTGTTGTCAACGTAGTTCGTGCGATCCGTGTCCGACTTTGGCTAAATAGTAGGTAAACATTATTATTATTTCGTTGCATCAATTGACAATAAAATATAATATTATTACATTGTTCGATGTGGACAGGCAGTGAAGGGTAGAAATTGTTATTTTGTTTTGAATTTCCATCGAACACGAATAGTATATTAAAATGTATATATATATAATATATATATTGGCATATTGCTTTCAAATGATTAAATAATGTATTACAACTATAGTATTGAAATATATACCTTCCTTTAGTTGTGTCACTCAATATTAGTTTTGTTCTTATGCACTTGTCTCACGGCAGTCATCGATATATACGTACTTTTTTTTATATTATTGTAATAATTATTATTTATGAAAAAATAATGACGTCGGCGACAAACGTCAATGAATACAGTCCGTGAATAAAGAATTTATGTCATTTTTTTTTTTTGCTCACTCTCGCATCATTTACACATCGGTAAACGACGAATTTTATTCGTATTTTCGTTTCACCTACCTGAGGTCATCGCGAGCTGTTGTGGATTTTGGAAGCGACGCTACGAAGTTTTCGAAAACTCTGCTGCGCTTGAAATACTTGAACTGTTCAAGTTGAACTCATGACATACCACCTGGTTCCGACGACCAGAAAATTGTTTATTATTCATAAGCTGCTGCAGGTTTATAACGTGGATTGTTTTTTACAAATATTTTTAACTCGATTCAAATCGATTTTCCTTGCTCGTGGTATTTGTTAAAATCGTAATTTAACGGAGTTGCCACTATATAATAGCACTATAGATACCAATAATAACCAGTATAGAGATGTCGTATTTACACAACAGTTTTGTTTTTTTTTGTTACATTTATAACAATTATTGACTACGGTTCAGGATTTTTTCGGCTGAAGACTTTTAACCGAGATTCCGTTGCAAATTTACAACACAACTGAATCGTTCCCTTCCACCAGACAACTATATATGTTGGTTATCTGTTAGCGTTTTGTTAAAAGAAAATATCAATGTTACGAATAAAAAGAGAAGAAGTAGTGTGGTGCACAGACAGTTAACAAAAGTATCATCCCACCTAGCCTTTTTTCGATAGCTGTTACATTTATGATGACTATTCACATAACATATTTTATTTTAAACATTTTAAATTCAATCTTATAAAATATTGATTATCTAGTCCCTATAGGTATACAGCCAACTGGCTTTTTACGATTGGTTTTTAGGCTTGGTATATATTTATATATGATATAGGTATAGTCGATATAGTGTTGGTATGTATAATTCTTGAGCCTTGTGGTGGCGTGGTGGTGAATTTCCTTTTAAATATATAAATGATATATTTTAATATTTCATAATCACTATCTAGCAGTTATTCTTATTTGATTAAAAACAAATATAATATTATTATCAATCATCTCATTTTTCATCCAATTGTCAATAGGTACTAGGTACCAAAAATTCCAAGTATATTACAAATTTATAACATGTAGATACGGAAATGTTGTGGCCTCTACACATTTCATATATTAGTGATTAAATATTTTAATAAATCAGTCCACATACCTACAATATATAGTCTACAGAAATTATTTATTATAATTTACATAACCTTCTCTGTGACATCGAAGATTTACATCCATCCCCTCTCGAGAGCTCATTTTTAAATCAAGTCGAACTACTTGGTAATTCACTTTAGCGTCATTGAGACAAACGCCGACCAATCTAAAACTAGACATAGGTCCTATACTTTTAAGTTATGCTTAAAATATTTTTATTTTCATCAGTTTACGGTAATTTGAGTAATATTACCATAGGTCATTTGAGCTTAGTAAGTTCAGCTTACTGTTTTAGCTTATTTAAGCACGGTTACTATTCTTACCTTTGAATTACTATAGGTAATTTGATTGTTGATTTTGCCGATTCGTGTAAGACTATGATGTTTTGTAAAGGAATAAATAAATAATAGGTTAATAATTTCCTTTACTCATATTATCTGTGTTTATTTTATAAACGAAAATCGTTTTAAATACTTTTTCGATAAAACTATTGTTAATAAAAGCCAATATTTATTTAAGAGTTCTAATTAATCAATACTTGTATTCATCATCAATTGCCTCCTTCTTCATGTAACTAAATATTACCTTTTTCACTTCCATTATGAATTTCGGTACTTACCTCCTCATGAACAAAAGAAGCTGTAACAACAATTGAAATGTTTAAACTAAACGTACAAAAACGAATTGTACACATTGTACTAATTGTAAATAATATGGTACACGGCAGACGTAGGTAATAGAAATTCAAAGTTATACAATATTTAAGCTAATCCGTAAATTGTAAAACCATTTGTGCCGCGGGACTACAAAATTTACCCGAATCAAAAAACAACTGCCTGACCAATATGGTCATGAGTTATGATTGAAATCGCTCTCACATTACCCATATAGTTTTATCCAAAAACGTTTCAACCCCCCCAAAAAAATAAAATATTAATGTCGTTCGACTCGTTCGTTTTTGACTCATTAATATAGTCTACCGAGGGACGTGTAGTAGTCATGTGGCCGCCTATCGTGGACGTGTTAAGTTAATTGGATTAGGTGCTGACAAAGTCAATCGCGGTCCAAACCATAAGACCGCGTACCGAACACTCGGAACATTAATGGGTGTCATACGATATTTTCGGGAGCAATATAATAAAACGTCGTTTCGATTTCGTTTTGTCGGTGTGTGGCGGACGTCGTCGTTAAACCTATAAAATATAACACTCGCGTACTGTACGCATGCTGTTGATATATCGTGTGACCTTTGTACACTCTAATCAAACATTGACCGATATACCACTCGGATCGATGGCTTTTCAGAGTGCTTATTCGTATTATATTTTATGCTGCACGTCATGGTTGTACATTCCTCGATGCCATGTGCTCTCTTCGCTGTCGTTGTTTCGCCCGTAGTTGTTATGTTCGTACACACGTCATAACAATATTAATGAACAATAAAATATTATTATCATTGTTATATTATTATTATACACTCCGTATGTGTACAATAATAATAATAATAATAATAATAATTGCTGTGGCGTGCGCTCGTCCGCGTTTTTTCTTTCTCGCGATAAAGCAATATTCGACGGCGGAACACAAACGTCGCGGTCGCGGTGTAATCATCGCCGAACACGCGTGCCATACGAATATATCTGTCGAATCGTTTGTGTATATTTGCGGCGCCGTCGTATCTAAGAATTCTAACACGTGCGAGGGTTAATGATAGAATAAACACCCATTTTCATTGAGATTTTTATTTGAACATTCCATTATAACATGAGATACAGGCACCCTTAAAACGGATTATTAATTCGATATCAGTTTTATATTTTCATACCTGTACTATGATAGTACTGAGTAGTTATTGTGGTCATACAGAAAATATTCTAAGAAAATCTTATAAGATATACGATTTCTTGTTCAAAAATTATTTATATAAATATAGGTCTTAAAAATCGTTTTGAAATTTTAAGAGATTTTTTTAAATTTGCTGACTGGTAATTTTAAATGTAAATCTGATCATTTAATACAACCTGCATGTCCTTATCGTTAAGTTATAAAATATTTATTATAATATATGACAAATATATTATTTAATGTCTAGTAAATACTATTCTGTAATTTTTTTCATTAATGCTTAGGTATATCTTAATTTCTTTTTCTTTTTAAGAATTGGTGTCCCCCAGCACATGCTTTGCTTATTGGTGGTGCTGCAATATCGTATATTTTATATCATGTTTAAAAAAAAATTGTATGATTAGTATTGTTGCAAAATAAATTATTATTATTATTTGTCATACGTAAGACAGTTTTAACTTTTTTTGAATATGTTGAAAAGGTCATTTTGATATCGCACATACCTATTTTAGATTGAAATCTATAATGTGTGGTACTCATTTCGGTTTCACAATAATGAAAACGTAAAAACGTCCTATGATGTGGTTTGCTAGTCCATCGCTTGTGTAGATCCCGGCCCTGATTATCTTTGCGTACCTGTTCACGTAGTCGTCCTCCGAGTCTGTCTCTTTATAGATAACGTATATTAGATATTTTAATATCTTCGTAGAGTGTGTCATATAAATGATATATCATATTTTATTCCCGACGACTTTAACCAGCTCACGGTGCAGCTCGCTTGTAACCTGTTTTTACTTCGTTTCGATTTCGCGATAGTATGGCATTCGCTCAGCATAATATAATATTATTATCGTATTATAGAAGTACCGTACCTACCCATATGCTCAACGTGTTGTGGTTGTTACTTAATCGCCACTGGTAGTCGTCGACGACGGTCAATGTCGTTCGAATCCGTGTCATCATATATATACACAACGCTTTTAATAATATTACAGATTCGAACATATTTTTAATTTGATAAACAATAATATGACGTCGAATAATAACGGTCTTTCGACTTGACAAACTCTCACCCCGCCACCCCATCGCCGACACGCCGCACCCGACAGCGCGGCGACGATGACCAGACGTTTAGGAATTTGAGGTCCGTCAACTCGGAGGGCCATGTGGCTACCGCTTGCGCGGAGCCGACAAAAAACCGTATACGGGCAGAGGAATGGCGTCATAACAAGCGGTGGGAGGAACTCTACTGTGCACGCGCCGTTATCGACGCAGCAGCCGCCGCCACATATGCCCGTAACCGCCGATGACGCTTTTGTCTCGCCCGCGCGAACGGCGATGGCGGCTATAAGTGGTACCGTCTTACTTTGTTGTCTGCGTGTCATAACCCTTTGCGCTCGCTGCACAGCTGCTGCTCCCGAGGCAGAAGCGAAACCCGCCGCCGGATATATTATACGGCACGGCCGTGGTCCAGTGTTGGGCGAAAGCATTTCACAACCACCCGGCGAACCGGTTCCCACACCGCCACCGCTGCCGTCGTCGGGCACCCTTTGCGCAGTCCGGTTTCCCTCTAGGAACCGGTGCACAGAAAAACAGAAACGGTCGGATGGACGTGATATACGCATTATAAACGTAGGTACGCTTATTATTATGTGGGTACTGTTTCGGTGCTAACAATATTACGCCGCAGCCAAGTATTGCGTCGATTTAAACTGCGTCGCCGATGCGGTCACCTTGACATACATGTCGCACGCGCGGCGCCTGTACGATATGCAAATATCTCTCTTCTTGGACGGCGGTGCGACGACGAAGGCGGCGGAGGAATCGTTTATAATATAATATTGTAAAGAAGGTTTCGATATCTTCGGCACACTCGTCTTTCGTCTTCCGAGAATGTCCTCCTCGCCCTCTGCGGTCTGCGTTCCCACGTGTTAGAACAAAACGGGCCACCGCCGCCGCCGGCTTCCTGCTCGGTCTCTATAGTTCTGTCTAGTAAGCGGCGGCTTCTGTAAACTCTCGGGATTCTTTTCCCCCCAAGTGATTGTGAACCGCGGCCGCTGTAAAAGTAGGGACGACGCTCTCTGGTGCGTGTGCGTGCGGGTGTGCGGGTTCCGGCGCCTGTACGTGCGCGCGCGTTCGAGTGGGACCGCTCACTAAAGTGTCGATGGCTTGCTGCGTGCGCGGCGTGCATGCGTGTGCGGTGTGCCCGTGTCTGGTCGACGACGATGGTACACTATATACCAAGAGCGGTGCGGCAGCGGCAGCAGCGTCGTTGGCGGCGGCGGCGGCGACGACGTTGGAAACGGCGGTCGGTGGCGGCGGTGGCGGTGGTGTGGTGGTGGTAGCCGTGCAACCTTCGTAACGGCCGCCGCCGCGCCGCCTGCCTGCCTGCCTGCCCGCCTCGTGCGGTCGGTTAGTCTGTAGTGCGCCGGCCGACGGAACAGAACGAGACTCGATAGCCAGCAGCAGCCCACCGGCACGACAGCTGCTGCCGCGACCGCGTGTATTGTCAGTGTGTGCGCGCGCGCAATTAATAATAATATTATTAATGATACGATGTATGCCGGCGTGTTCTTCGCATAAGCCGCGGACGTAACGAATATTATAATAATTCCCGTAAGTACCCTTTTACTCACCGCCCACTACTTTACGACTATAATACGTCTCACACACAATAAGATAATAATATATTATAGTATATAACCGTATATAGTATTATAGTATATTGTTGTTATTATAATAATTATATAATATATTATCTTGTATATTATAATAATATTATTGTACTGCCTATCTAATATTATCGCGTATTTGCGTATATTGGAAGTGTGTACAACATGTCATACAATATTATAAAATAGTATAACATAATATTGGTGACATCGAACGCCGGTGGTTTTTCAGGGTAGCCCACCGACACCAACTGTCCCTGTCACTGTAACCGCTACATGCTGATGACTGCTGCTGCTGCTGCTTAGGCTGTCTCTGCTGCAGACGCGTGCGTGTCATGGACTTGGTGGTTACCCTGCCGTACACCTTACCGGCTTTGTTTTTTGTCACTCGCTTCTTTTTCACTTCGCGCTCCGACGACGACGGTATGTAACGATCGGTGGCCACCTCGGCGCCCGCGCTATGATATACACCGCCGGCCGTCACCGAATTTCGTTGCGAGCGACGGTGGGAAACCCCTCTGTTCGCCCGCCCCCCGCCGTAGCCTCGCGTTGTGTAACCATCGCGAGCGCCAGAGCTTGGAATCGATAAACCCGACGACGACGACAAGCCCTCCACCATAATAATACACTACAACGTGCCAGCAGCAGCAGCACTACACGCCGCCACCGCCACTATTGCTCAAACCGCCGCCACCATTACCTCCATCGTCATCGTCGTGCCACTTATTTTGAGGACTCGCGCATAAGGGATATACGAACTGCCCGGCAGCGTCCACGTCGACAGGACACTAAGTTCCTGTACTTAAGGACCCTCTCGACTCGTTTTTCCTTTACGACTTTTCTGCACCAGTACCTATATTATAATACAGCTCGTTCACTCCAATCCCTCGAAACGTCATGACTACCTTCCGGGCTTTATATGTCTTCCGTCCGTCCGACGACTATGTACATTTACCGACGTCCGGAAATAACAATAAGGTCGACATGCCCTGTTTCCGTCGGCAATATTTCGTCGTCGTCGTCATTCTTCGCGATCTCTTGTGTCTTGACAGTTACGGGGGTGGTGAAGGGATGGGGGTGGGGGGGTAGTCATACTTGCGTAGAAACCCCTCGCGACGACAGGACTTCCGGTCTTAACACGTATAAGTGATATTATTATATACTCGTCCTCGGGGACGTGGAAGTGTTCGAGGTGCACGCTCGACGGCGCTAATGGGGCATGTCGATCTTTCGGGTCAAGTTTTTCGCACCAGAAATTCCTGCCGGTCCGCAGCCCTTTCTAGTCGTAGAATTACTATCGACCCGCACGCAGCGTTTTTGGTCGCAATCAGTCGTCATTGTTGCCGCCGGCGGTCGTATAATAATTATTCGCAAATTACACGTTATCGCGTAGGTTACTCTTGTCGCGGGCCGTGTAATATTATTACGGTGTTCATTTATACACGTCGACTGCGGTGGTCGAGAACTGTACTGCACCGGAAACGCCGTCCTCAAGCTTGTGTTTCGCGCTAGTCGTGTGCGTATATTATATTATTATATATTATTTGCGTTTCGCGCGCTCGACGTCGCGGCGGCGGCGGGCCACTGGTTATTTTTAAACCCCCGCCGCGTGACACCCTCTTGAGGCTATACAACGGCCGAGCTCGTTCGTAAAATACGTTTGTGTAATAATAACCTCCCGACAGCCGGCCAAATGCTCGTCGTGTGGCACGAGTGGCGGCCAATCTAACCAAACCGTCCAGCATCGCGTTCAAATTATATTCTCCCGCCATTTACCCCTAGTCGAAAACCCGACCGACGTACACGATATAACTGTCCACTCCCCACGGCTAAACTTCCGTCACGCAAAACTACAATAGGCAATGAATAGGGTCTTCAAAGACTACAATACATACAAACCCATCTCTATATATATCTTCTGTACTACGCATTCGGACCCGGACATGGGAGGGGTCTCAGAAAGACTTCCGAGTGACGCATGCGGGCGTATATAGTATCGCCGTGGACCGAAAGCCGACGAACAGGAGAAGGAGAAGGATTGTCGTTGGTCATGCAATGAAGGTATACAAGCAGGGCTGTGAATTTAATGCATTAGAAAACCTTAAAAAATGCAATATAAAATGCCAAAAATGATTCTATAAAATTCACTTAAAATAGTTTTTTATATTTATATTGAAATTATAGGATATTATACATTACCTATTTACCTACTAAAATTATTAATCAACCAACTTTATCTGGAAACTCGTGACTGATATACGATATGCCACAAATTACTTATCTAGGTATCTAGGAATTGCCTTATTTTATCGAGCCTGTGTACAAAAACAAAAAAATGTTTTCAAACATGTCAATTGACGGAGTTGGATTAAAAATACCGAAAAACGAACTATAAAAGGAAAATATGACCTAAAAATGCAAAAAAATTAAAAATAAAGTTTCATACATTTTTTTTTTTTTTTTATTCATATGTTTTTATTCAATCTGTTACAAAAAAAAGAAAAACAACAAGAACAATTAATGGTTTATAGGTTAAAATAAATAAAAACAAAAATAAGAAAGGCAGATTAGACAGACTATAGAGGCCTCCCAGCGGAGGTACTACGACATGAGTAGTTTCATAAATGGATTCATATAAATATATAATTCAAATTATGTACTTACAAAGTTACGTTTCACAATCACCAAAAAAAAAAAAAAAAATGCACTTTTTTACAAACTCAGCCTTATATAAGTATAAAACCCATTGGTGGCGCGTGATTTATTTGAGGAAAATCTCGTGCGCTGTTTAATGTTACCTGCTCGACGTTAATTGAACAGTTTTTTCCGCGTTTCTAACTGCAGTACCTATTACTATACAGACATTTGACATATGTCACATATCATATCGTTTCAACATGCACTCATAATATATTATACAGCCATCGACTGAACGAGAGTATATTTGCGTAGGTGATATTTTGTAATAATCAGCTACAATGCCATTTGCTCAAGCCCGATGACGAAACACGTCCTTATTTTCCAGTAGTTGGAGGTAGCTTATTGTAACTTTTCGGTAAGATTTCCTCGTTCGTCGTTAACATATAAAATTCAATAAGTTTTGTCTTGTTCTAAAAGTCACTCTTGACCACAATCTATACGCATTTTCAAATAAAACCAAACAAAAGTGAAATCGATTCCGTTTGGACGCCGCCTGTTCATCATGTCGCTTTATTATTACCAAATCCACTCCGGCGATCGTGCTGCGCATTTTTGTTTTAATTATATTTTTTTTTGAATACTCTTCGTACGTTGTTTAAATCGTCGCAACGAGACTTAAAATCGAATATTAACAGCCAAGCGGGGGCGCGGACGGGTTTTTCTTTCCAGTGGTCCATTTGGTGCGGTAGGTACCATTTATATACTGTGGTCGGATTGTGTTGTTGTGTATTATAATATAATCTTCCGACGAGTTACGTTTTTGCGGCAGCGGCCTTGGCACAGAGTAGTTCGTATCGTCTTCCTTCTCGATTCATTATAATAATAATAATATATACACGAAGCAACGCTAATAATAAAGCTAATGAAGCGTGACACGACGACGACAATTAAACACGCGTGCGTATAATATGTGCGTGTTTTGTGTGTGTGTGTGTGTTTGTTTGGCGGCGTATACTGCATAGCACATCAGCGGACGACATATTATACCGTTTACCAGGCTAACGCCTAAACGACTTTCGTACGAAATTAGTTTGGTTCTAGAGCCCCCCACCACTTGCCCGCTTGCACGTATTATAATGGTAATGGTGTACTGTTATCTTCGGTCTCGCGAAAACCAACAGAATGTGTCGTCACTGTGCGTATACAACGATATTAACAATATTGTAGATCCTAAAAGTACAGATTGTGCGAGCGCCGCGCCGCCGTAACGTTATATAATAATATTGGCTATTGCTCAAAACACTCCAGTTACG